ATATAGAAGACTCCTCCACACATATCGGAGAAAGGAGAAAATGCAGTACAAAATATTTTGCCCCAAAAATCTGTGGTAATACCAATACCCAAGGTAATACCATTAATTACAATTTTGTAGAATTTTTTATAGAAATACGAGTAATTACTGTTATTGTGTTCAATGCCAATATAAATAGAATATTTATAGGTCTTGATTATTTATCGGGTGTAGAAAAAATAGCGTATGCAACTCTCATGTAATGGTTATTAAAACACTCGCATAAACCATACGAAACTCGCCTTTGGCTCGTTTCGTATCCCGGTTAATGCTCGTGTATTAATAACCATCATTACATGATCGTTGCATAATATATACTATTTTATATCAAGAATTTAAAAAAACCCTAGCACAGTTGTTACAGTCATGGATATCTACATTATTTACATTTCATGAGATTGATTTTGACATAACCTACCTGTGAAAATAGCAAGCATTGGTTTTGGGTGTTTTTGGTCCAAAATGTTCGGAAAACTATGCATCTCTTTACTATTTTGAAATGTATAATCACGTTTGTAAATAATTTCTTTCATATAAATAAATAAAACAAGAATATTTCACTAAAATAAAACACCGAATGACACTTTTAAAAACATACAGAAATAGGGTTGCCAAATGCCCAGTTAAAATATAGTATGTAATGGTTTAAACCGATGGATCGTAATGAACAAAATCTAAAAACATCTAATTTAAACACCGATTCAATGCAGAAGAAAATTAAATGAGAAATTTTATGAATATGATCCAGATTCTTAAATGAACTGTTAAATATTAAGCTCCATATTAAGTATTTCGAACCTTGAAACATTGGGAACTAATAATTATTATACTTTTAACCGAAAGTGACACTGTGGCAACCTCTGCTGGTACCACCGTTTGTTGTGCATGCAATTGTGGACCTTATTATCATACGACAATTGTTTATGTAAACAAGGCGTATCTATTCCAATACATTATCGAATGTATATAATAACCGTCGATAAATCCTATAATTCCTTAAAAACAAATACTTTATTACTATTACAAAAGATAAATAAAGGAGCTCATACCATCAATTCCTCTGTTATTTATATTAAAAGCGTTACGTATTTCAGCTTGCCTCTGTCTAGAAGGCCACTGAATGGATCCTAGTCTTTGATTTGCAACTAAAGCCCTGTGTCCACTTGCAAGTAACTTGCGAAAGTTTTTTCACCAAGTACTTGCCGGCGTGTCTACACTGTAGTCTAATTGTTTTGAAATTTATTGCGGTAAATTACTGTAGCAAGTTCGTTTGCTTCAGTAACGTGTAAACTGTACACGCACTTATAACAATGTCGTTTCAGCAAGTGGCTGCTGCGGTTGTGACATATATTCCGTTAAAAAAAACAAATAAAAGAAAAATGACAAAAAGCGTAGAAAAATTTGGGTCAGAAAATGGATTCAGTGAGGAGAAGGGAAGATCCGCAGCAGTTGAAAATTTTTCTACGAATGTCTGCGGAAGATTTTGAAATGCAGCTTGTATTTTTACTCTATTTTTAAAATCTTTGCAATGTACATTACATATTGCTGGGTACAGTTCAAAATTTTCAATTAACAGAAGAGTTTCTTTCCTATTCCTCCATTTTTGCAAAAAAATTAGTATTTCAATTCAGATTCAAAAAAATAAAATAAACATTTAAAATGGTTTCACAAATTTTCATTACTTGCTGCAAATATTTCGAAACAGTCTCGAAATAAAAACGTGCAAACTAATTTGCCTTGTACACTACAAGCTCTAACAAGTACTTGGCCCGAGAGTAAACTTTCAGCAAAATTTCTCTAGCGCTGCTGTTTACACGCATTGCAAGTGACTTGTGAGGGTACTCTAGGCAAATTTAATTGCTAATGGACACGAACCTTTAGAGTAATTTGCAAGTACGATAAAGTACTTGCCAGCAAGTAGATTTGCTTAATCCAAATCTATCAGCAACTGTCCTATAGTGAAAAAGCTGTTAAAAATATAGAAGTTTTACCAAAACTTAATAAATTGATGTACCCGCCTGAGACTCTCCAAATTACTCAGATACCATATAGTAAGTAATAATTATTTATTAAAGGATGTTCTGGGATAACATACACCACGAATATTTGCAAATCCGTGAATTCTATGAAGTACATCTTCAAATGTAGTTGCACTCATGCGAAAATGCATTTGAAATTGATTATTATTCATATTTGGAATAGTGATTTCGGCAAAATTCTCTACTTATTCCAAAATTTCAGTTTCAATATTTTCGTCATCATTATCATCGAACATAATTGATCTAGCAGTATAAATTATAGGTATTAATATATTATTATTCATTTTCCAACACTATGTATTTAAATTAAATAAAAAAATTAAACAAAAAAACCGTCAGTTTAAGGACTTTTGTAAACAAGAAGTAATAGTTTGTCAACTTTCAGCTGTCACGCGTTCGTGTATTGTATATTCGCTCCGTTTGCCCATTGATCACGTGATTATCGTACCTTACTCCTATAACTCTAACTCCGAGTCACCAAGCCGTACAATGGTTGTATGTATTTTTCAGACTTGAATTGTGGCTTAAGGCAGCAAATAGAGAGTACTTATTGGGAAAGGGTGTTGAACGCTTAAGTAAAAATTACAAAATTTGTGAACTACACTTCCAGGATAAATTCGTTTATCAGTCAGGAACAAGAAAATGATTATTTGCAAATGCATTCCCAACAGTATTTCCCCATTCAGAACTTACGAAAAGAGTCACAGTTTTGCAAGGTAAATAAATACAATTTATAGTTAAATGTTACAAAAAGTTTGATACTCGTCATTTTTTTACATTACATTTAGGGCCATTTACACCGTTAGTCGTTAAGAACTAAGCGAAGCTTAAAGTGACATTGATAATGAGAAAATGTCAGTTTAAGCTTGCCTTATTTTTTAACGACTACCGGTGCAAATGGACCTTAGTAGTTTAAAAATAAAAGTACTAATAATCTTAGAATATCAACCCATATATTCCATTTTTGTAGAACTACCTCGGAGGTAAACTGCACTATGTCGACATACAACTTATGCAAATTAAAATAAAGTAGTTTTAGTAGTTAGGTTAGTAAAAACTATAAATATTGTGACAATAAATGGGTGTCTAAATGCATATCTAGTTGAAATTTAATAATTTAACAATATTCAATCTGCTGTACTAAAAAGTTGACTAGAATGACAGTGCAGTTTTACCTCCTAGGCACAGAAATATATTCACATTTTATAAAATTATTTTTAAATTTCATCTGGCCAAAAAGTGTGACTCAAACATTTAATTCTGACAAATTCATGCAACTTCTTGACACTAGTTGATCTGATAAAAATTTGGTTTCTCTTTCTTTTTTAGAGGAATTTGTTGTTCATGGCGAAGAAGGCAAAGGACAACTTGTGTCTACCCTCAACTTCAGCAGAAGTAGAATTTATTGAACAAGTGTATAGTCAACCATCTGTTTTCTCTACCTTGTGTAACAGCACAAATTCAAACGAGTAATTTGTTATCATCAAATACTCCAAGAAAGCAGAGACTGCGACTGAAGATAGCAACGTTGAGAAAACGTTCGTTTGGTGCAAAAAGAAGAAAAATAATTACTCATTATTTAATATTTTTTATAAGTACCGTTTATATAATTATTCTATATTATTGTTGTATATTAGGATATAGCTATTTTAATAAAGCTACTTATCTATGTATTATAAATTAGGCTTGCTCTATAAATCTGTGTAAACAATTTTAATTATTTTAATTTTCAAACCATTCTATTTTAATATAAATGGATGCACATGCACATTTTAAACTTTTTTTTTTTATTCATAAAATCCCTAAAATACGATTTAGCTAATGATTTTTTAACAATTATCCCAATTGATTTATACTTATGGATCATAAATGACTAGTGAGATTTGTGGGCCCAATATTAATAGTTTATTATGACAGGGTAAAGCAAACTATTGTTTAAAAATTTATAATACTTATTTTTGAAATCTCTGTCGGAAGTGCTACAAATCAAAAAATAATTAACTTAAATCGAGAATAGTTTTCAAATGCATTCATGCCAATTTTCATAAAATATGACACATAATTATATAAAAGAGAAATGTAGTTTGGAACAATTTTTTAATTTTTTGGAAAACTTAAGCAGGGAGTAAAGAGTCAAATATTGTGAACATAATGTTATAATTAAATTATCTTTGCTTAATAATCAATTTTTAGTTCATAAATAGGAGTAAAACATTATTATTATTATTATTATTATTATTATTATTATTATTATTATTATTATTATTATTATTGTTATTTAAGGTAGCTGTAGTGTAGGCTTTAGTATAGAGTTGTTTTAAATATCCATTTAAGTGTATTTTTGCTCGATAAAATTTTAAAAAATGAAAGTTCTGTTTTGGAATTTATTACTGGCACGTGCTGACTATTATTTTTAGCTTTCTTATTACAAAAATAAGCATCACACTTAATTTCAGCTTTGTGAATATATTTTTTTTTTTCATTTTTTTTTTCATTTTTTTTGCTTATTTAGGTGGATGGAAGACGTACTTTGTCGTGAAATTCAGGTGGAAGACGATATTTTTTAAACTTTATTTGTTTAAATTAACGTGTACAACAAGTGTCATGCATGCGAAAATTATTTTTTTTTTATATAATTGTTTTACTGTAATTGCAACCCTCCTGCAACCCCCTATTGTAAGGGGTGCGTCGGAAGACGTTCACATTAGAGTTATATTACTTGCATAACTCATATAAAAAAAATTAAACTTGCGAAAATGACCCGGAAATTTTTGTCGTTACCTCCCGGTCTATTAGTCAGTAGTCTGGCTAAAAGGTATCGATATAATTATCAGTTCATGAATAAAAGTGACATTTTTTCAAAAGTATATATACCTATCTATATGTATCTACATAGGTATAGCTTATAGTTAATATTTTAAT